GGAAGAGTCACGACACCACAACCGATAGCAACCGACAAGTTAATCGCCCGTACAGCCGAAACAGATTGGTAATCTGCTGGACACATCCCTCAACTCAAATCAACGCACATACTGACACTCGTAATAGTGAAGTGCTCAGCCCCCCTCAGCACCACGACGGGGTGCCGCCGCCGCCACAGCAGCACCAACACGAGCCTCGGGAAGAAGACAGCGGAGCCAGGCGCCTCTGCCACCTAGGGAAGGACGATAAAGGGAAAACACAAGCGCGTCAGAGAACGTCCCATTTCCTAGAAACAGCGCACTTACCTCCTTTACCCGTCCGCGAGCCCATAACCTGAGCGGGTAGAAACCCACCGTACGAGCATCAGGCGAGCATGCGGTGGTCGGGCCCTGCATTGCAAAGTCCCGCTTCGCGCAAATAGCGACACGAACAACGGACGCGGAGGTGGGCCTGGCGAGTGGTGCGCTCTTGGCAGCTCCACCTAAGGGACTACTAAAAACGGACACCGGCGAGGCCTTGGCGCTTCTCAACCGTTCCTATCCTTCTCTATCTCACCTCCTATGCACCACCCTCCCTCCTGCGGAAAAACTGCTCCCTGGTGACAGACAGACAGTGCACTCCCGCGCAGGGAAGCGAGAGAGAACTCAGGCCACTACCAACGAGACCACTTCCGGAATCCTGCTGTGTTTTACGACATGCTACTGCAGGTTTTATTTGAAACCCTTGCACCCGACCCTAACATGGGACGAGACACGGACGAGACACGGAACATCGCACGCTGAAAGGTAGATGTAATTGTCGTCCTGCTCACAGCATTCATCACGCAGATCTTCCAGTTTCTGCCTGTAAGCGGGCAAACAGAAGCAATTGTGAGGACAAACTTTGCGATGTAGTCTTCCTGGTGCTGCTATCCAATTGCCTGACCCTTAATGCAATCAAAACATTTCATAGCTCATGCATTCTGGGAAGACAAGAGACGGACAACTCCAACTTCAACCGTCGAAGGCGCCTGGACGACCTAGGTGCATTACAGTCAAACCCACAAAAGCCTGAGCTATCCAGCTCCGAGCCGTATAAAGCAATAATATACGTGTCTAGAATGTAAATATCTAACTGTTGATATGAAGCTAATTTCGGGCATTTGAGTTTTGGCATGGTTCTGAGTCCTGGCTTCGGTTTTAGTTGCATGTGTTACACGCATCAGCCCTACAGGCATCGATTCAAACACATGTAAGCC